ATATATATATATATATATATATATATATATATATATACAATATACGTGTATCATATATATCATATTTATGTTAATATTTCAGTTATTGTATTCATAATTATATTTATATATTTTTATTCTTTTGCAGGTTATAGATCACTATGAAAATCCAAGAAATGTAGGTTCCTTGGATAAAAATGACCCTAAGGTTGGTACAGGTATCGTAGGAGCTCCAGCCTGTGGAGATGTAATGAAACTTCAGGTTAAGGTTGACGAACAAGGAAAGATTATTGATGCTAAGTTTAAAACTTTTGGTTGTGGTTCTGCTATTGCTTCAAGTTCCTTAGCTACAGAATGGGTTAAAGGAAAAACTGTAAGTATTATTATTGAATTTTTAAAAATTATCTAGTAAAGTAAAAGTAATTGATTTCTGTTATAGGTCGATGAAGCATTGGCTCTCAAAAATACTGACATTGCTAAAGAGTTATGTTTACCACCTGTCAAGCTCCACTGTTCAAGTAAGTGATATTTGTTATTAAATTTAATATTTTAATTAAAAAATTAAAAACTATAAAACACGAGTAGAAACATTTTAAAGATTGTTGTAGTAGTTTTATAAAATAAAACTAAAAATTTAATGTGTACACATTTAAAAGAAAGATTTAACAATTAGTTACTTACAGTTAGAGTATTTAGTATAATTATATTGATTAAAGTAATTATACTACTTTACATTAATTTTTTATATATTGTAGTGCTCGCAGAAGATGCAATTAAGGCTGCTTTGTCAGATTACAATATAAAACAAAAGCAGAAATTGAAAGCCAATGAAAATAGTACTAACGCAAATGAAACATGATTTTGAAATGTTTCAGACATAGTTGAAAATAGCATCATACAATATATTATTTCTCATTTACTTTTTTAAATATTAGTAGCCACTAAACTCTTCATATATAAAAATATTTATAAATTATGAGTTGTGATTAGAATAAAGGAAAATGTATATTAAAATACACATAAAATTATATGTAGAAGCACTTATAAATGTATGCTATTTGTTTTAAAAAAGAAAAATAAATATATTTAGCTAAAAAATTGGATTAAAGCATTTATTTATACATCAATGCTATTAGGCTAGACAGCCTATTATTACCTTTGATTTCATTGCATTATTTCATGAAATATCAATTTCATCAATATCAAGCTTCGTATTAAATTTATTATTTTATTTTGAGACGATCATTTCTTAAAATTGCCATTATTGACTAGAACAAATAAAATACATATAAAATTACATTGTGATAAACATTATTGTTGATACGAATGTATATCGTTAATGAAGTATTTTAGTGGCAATTTAAGTTGTTTGCAAGAATATTTCTATTTGTACTTGGGTTTACATGAACTCATTACGACATCGACGAGATTGTAATAGTATATGTAACTGAGTAATCAGTGAACTGAGAGATATATTTTATCAATAAATATTATTTTTTGAATAATCATAACAACGTAGATCAGCAATAATTTCAATCTAATATTCAGCTTGTGTTGTAAATATTGATGAAACAAAAAACTTGCTGTTTCTATATAGTTTCTATATATTATTATACTAAAAAATTACGATAATTATATTTCATGATATATCACTCAAATAGAATCATATCTTTTCAATGAGCAAACTCATTTATTAAAATTTTCAGTGACTCAATATATCTCGTTGCGTAATATTCCTGTGAATCCTTTGATATTTCTGTAAGAAATATTTCCGTAAATATTATACGTAATCAAACGCAAAATAAGAAATGTTACGAAGGTATTTTAGTTTCCTCATAGCCGTGATACATGATCAAATATTTGCTCAAATTCATATCCATGTACTGGAGTTATATAGACAAGCGATTTGCAGGCAAGCGATTTCCAAGAATGAAACTTCGATTTGAAATAATTAAAATGAATTTGACAAGTATCAAGTGTCTCAGATCGGTGACTTGTATGCATCTCTCTTATAATAACTGTCATCACAATACCAATTGATGCTTAATAAGAACGAATATAGTCTGAGTCATGTTGTAGTTGCTGCTGCCAATTGTGCGTTTCAAGTTAATTCGGGAAGGAGAACAATTAGTTCGTTAATTCGCAATTTACATTGTCTATGACTTTTCATAACT